TAATAATATATGTCACTATGTTTAGTTAATTATATCATTGAATATCATTCATGTGATTTTTTTCTTTTCATAAATTAAAATAATTGTGAATTCGGGTCAATTTAGTGACTACAAACGAATTGGCCCAAAACAATGTATGTTTTCTTAGAGCCCATGAACCCTATTTTTTGTTTAAAACCTAAAGCTAATTAATCCTAGGCTAATCTAACCTAGCCGTAATTAGAAGAAGAGAAGAGAGACGGAAGAAGTTGTCTTGGTAATAGACAGAGGTGGGGATGAACTTGGACGACGAGTCAGCTGGGATTTATGGCGGAGCGGTGGTGGAGATTCCACCGGAGAAGAAGATCAGAGACGAGACAAAGGAGAAGCTGAAGGAGGCAGGACTATCTCGTTCTGAGGAAGGAGGGAAACAGACAATTAAAACAAATCGGAATCCAACCAAACTTTATGGGTAAGTAGTCAACTATCTGATCTAGTTATAGTTGAAATTTTTTTGTCATTCGGAGTTATGAACTGAAAGTTATTGATGTTTTACTGGGACTGATCTGTGTAGATTGAGTATACGATCAGCCGAATTCGCATACGTTTACTATCTGGATATCATTTGAAAGCCCCAAATCTCGTCTTTCCATAGACACTAAGTTCGTTTTAATCAAAGGCAAGGCCAATCGGAAAATTGATCTCGAAGTTTAACCACAGTCATTATATTGTTTGTGAACCAGAATGGTGCTAAGTATATTTATTCAAATGTTCCAGTTTCAAGCTGTAGTTTTTAGAGGAATATTCCGGTGATTTCAGATAATGGATGGAAATAACGTTGAGTTCTTCTCACAGAGGACATGTCAGAGACTTCATGTAAGTTTCAATTGTCGTTATTGGAGTTGGTACTTAACCGTGGTGAGCTTGGCTTGTTGCGCAAGAATCAGCAGAATCCGAATTGCTAGTCCTGGGACAGTTTCGATGCATCCACTTTGAAGGTCCGTTTGGAGGTTCATATGAAGTCTGATCAGTCTTTAAATTGGTGGAGTTGCTCATGACACTACTGTCTTTAGAATCAACGGTCAGATTCTTATGTGGACGGTTAGTTTGTCATTTACGAACATCTTTCTAAAGATGGTTATTACAGTTTTTTTCGAGTATATGTTGATTGAGTTGTATTCTTTGTTTGGGCAAATGAGCTCGGAATGAGTCGGAAATTTATAGTAACTTAATGGACTTATAAGATGAGATGGTGTCAAAGGATAATGAGAGTTGGAGATTGGAAATCCAGTCGACTAAGGATAGTTCTACATGACAGTTTCTGAACCTTCAAAACCTTTGTGGCTAAGGTGAGAGTGTGATCTATGTTACTTTGGTACTAGTTAGCAATATGTGTTCTTTCATGTACAAAGTGATCGGGGGACGGGTATCACATCTGGTCTGGCTGGGTAGACCCGAATTAGAGCTGGGAATCTGCACTCTAATAACGACTAGATCGATTGGTTCTCTCTCACAAGTTTCCATTGGAAATTTCACCGGCGAAGATACGGATGAAGAAGAAGAGGACCTTCCGTTTTCCATGTCCTCGATCAGTTTAACTACTCGGATCTTGAAGTATGAAGTCTCTCGACTTGTGAATACGCAGGAGAAGTATATCCGAGTTTTACAAGGGGGAAATCAAAATCATTCAGCAACTTGAAGGAATCTGAAGCAACACCGATTAAGGATTTGGGGAGGCCAGAGAACCATTACACGTGACGGAGGAACCTCCTCTGTAATGCTCCGACCGCCGTCGAGCTATCGGTATGCAGGGAAAATCCTCATCCCCTCGAGAGAAATCCTCATCTCTCAATAACATACAAGGGAAATCCTCATCCTTTTAAGAGAAATCCTCATATC